CCGACGTTAATGAGTATGAATAAAAATAATTTGATTAGTCTACAATAATTAATTATCAAAATAAATAATTATTTTTGATTGATGTCGAATAGAAACCAATACAATTATAATGATAATCAAGCCCAAAAATGAATTGTTAACGTAATATTTTATAATTATAAATCAAAGCATATAATGTGATTCAGTGATTCAAGTATTGAAGTTTATTCCCCAGTAATTAATTGTTTCTACCTTTTGTAGCCTATAAGTTACCTAATGACTAATATTTATTACAATATCTTTGTTTGTTCTTTGTTTCAGAACTGTTAATTCAACATGTAATTCATAAGCAACAAACTCAAAAATGCCATAGCCCAAACATTACACTAACATGTAATTATACTAAAATGTATGTGAATTAATATTATGTACATTGCAAAATAAATCAGTCTTCTCCGCTATTTGACTTTTCTTGTTTATCTGTTAATCTTATGCTTTTTTACGATCATCCTCTTTTGATTAAACAAAATAGGTAACTATATTAATATTATAATACGTTAAGGTTTATGCCATATTTACGGTAATACAAATAGTATTTATTTTAAATCGTATTCAGAGTAGAATGACGTGTGGTAACTAATATTATTTTCACAGAGCATAAAAGAAATTAAAATCAGAATAACACAGATTAAAAAATTATACATCTGAATCACAAAGTTGATCAAGAACGTAAACTGTAATCGTGAACTTGTAAGAGGTGTTATAATACTGACACATATCCTATAAGGCTATACAAGTGTGAGTTTTTTAAAAGTATTTTTATTCATAAAATACAAATTTCATAACACAGTAATAATAATGTAGAACCTATATTATAATTTATAGGACATATGTAGGGTGATATATCAAATAATATTTGACATTTTTAGAATGTTTTCGTGTAGTAATATTATTGTTGGTTAGAATACCGAAAATGTGTATAGAATTTTAATTTACAAAATCAATAGGTAATAGGTGTTTTGTTGAGAAAGGAAAAAAAAATTTCGTTTTTATTCATTTGCAATGGGTAGGTATAATTATTTGTTGACAATGTTAAATTGTTCCAAATGTTTAATGCACATTATACAAGCTGTCCCTATTATTACAATAGTAGTGATGCCCTCTTATTGCAAATGTGTTCAACGGTAATATATTTATACTCTATTTTATAACAGATGCAATATTCTCTTCGAGAAAATATTAAATTTAGATTTGTTGAAATTAATATTTTTTGTTATAGAGTATGTTATTATAGTAAGCACCTTTAAATTAAATAGATTCTTATTTGTTGAAATCTCAGAGACAAAAAATAATTTAAATCAACAGTAAGTATAAGGTCGGCCTATGACCTAATTAATTATGTACATTCAAATAATTTATTAAAGATGTTATTTTTTTATTGTTATTTTGTTATAATATTATGGTCTTATATTATATAAGAGATAAGCCATAATTCTATTTCTAGTGAGCATTGAACCACTTGACGGTAACAACTTGACTTTGATTTCCAAATTCAAATACTGTTTTTTTCAATTGAAATAGTTGTCAAAAATATCAGTTTTTCATAAATACAAATACGTGCAAAAAATAAGGTAGGCTTGCCATTTGATTTTTAGAGATTGACCACCAACATAATAATAACAAGAAACGTAATGTGTACAAAAGTTTATTTAAAAATTCCAAATTACTTTTTTACTGGACATCTTCTAACATACATAATACAATTTAATATAAATATAAAAATAAAGTTATAAAAAAATTAATTTCACATTTTTAGTATTTCGAAGTGCACATTTTTGCATATTATGCTTCGACTCCTAGTGCATTGGAGTGAATGTCGCAGTAATAACCGCGTAATGATGATTAAAATGCAATTAAACATTTGTTATTTAATTAAGTTCCTATGTAGGCATAGTATAATATTTTAGAATTACGTGGACGCTTTTTTAAGACCTCGATAGCATTATAATATTTCATTTAAATAGAGATGAAAAATATACGCAGTACGTCGAACCTATACGTACACAGTAGCCTATACAGTATTTTGATAATAATATCGAAAACGTCAAAACGAATTGAAATGTTAAAATCAAAACATTTGAAGCGAGCAGGCTGCAGGCGCCACCGTTTCAAAAGCTCAAATTTAAGTCAATACTAATTTCGTCGAACAATGGTACCCTTTGAATATTTAATAACTACAAAATACATGTGTCGTATAACGTACATATATACGGTCGTAAATTATACACACGCACGCCGATCGATTGCTATACATATATATATTATATATACGTTGTATACGTTGCCGAATTCAAGTGTTTTCAACGAAACAAAATATTTTAGACGGAAATGCTGAAATATTGACTTAATATTGTGGGCACAGCATGGACACCACGTGCACGCCCCCACTTCGTTATTGCGCAATATCTGAGTGAAGACGTTCGGGAAAACTCGAGCTGTTGTCGAACGGTATCGCGAGGGTTCGAAAAATAAAAATAAAATAATATACATCATTTACTTATCGTCAATCCGTCTGACGAAATCGTACACCGCAGCCGAATATTACTATTTCTGGTCGTCGTCCGACCGACCGTAATCTGTTGATATTTGGTAGCACCGCCACGGACATCTACGGGACATATGTAATCGCACACACCCCCAAAAACGATAATATTTTTTCGAGTTTTTTTCTATTTTTTTTTTTGAAATGAAAACAATCGATAAGCGCGCCGACGACGACTGTTACGAGTACATGCGTCTGACGCACGCGTTGGCCGTATGCTGGGGATTGCCCATCACTCGCAGACGAACTGGCGGCGGTGTCGAACGCGACGGAGGACCGGACGTGGCGCTAGGTATAAAGTAGTACTATTTGACGAACAGTCTGACAGCGGCAGCGATTAATGGGGATTTTTTTTTGTTTTGGAATTTCGACGAGATTTATAATTTCTGTCGCTATATCACACGTATTATCTACGGTTTCCGCATAGTTACAGAGGCACTAGATGAGATTATAATATTATACGTATACCCCCCCCCCCCCCCCGTTAGGATAAGTCGAGTACCAGAGTACATCAGTATCTTTATGAGGGTCGGGCAAGAGGACACTATAACTGTACACGTGCTTACACGCTTGCACGGAATATCGTGATATTATATTACGGATCAGTGGTTTTCAACCGGTGTGTTGCGAGCATTGTCCAAGTGCGCGGTGAACTTTTTAACGTTTTTTGTTTTATAGTAGGTGATTAAAATAAATAAATCAAGTAATATTGGATGCATGCTTTCGTTTACCTATCTAATTTACTTTAAGAATTTAGTAAAAAAATGTCGTATTCGTTACATTTTAAATTAATGTTTCTAACTAAGTGTCTTTCTTTTAGTGTATTGAAGTAATATTTTTCAAATGTTGTGAAACACTCGATACATGGATTAAAAGTGAACCGCTACACAAAATACTTCCCATAACTGCCCAACCCTGAAGATTATACTAATGTCCGCACGGATATCTTAGTCGTTGGCGGCTCCTTAAATCCATCTAAAAGTAACTTTTAATACGGCGACCATTGAGCACCCTTAAATATTTTATTTTGATTATGACTTTAGATTTTTTTTTATAATTTTGATAAATATCAGCACTGACGACAACACTCACGCTCCAGTTTGCTTATCTCACCCCACTCGATATAGGTACCTATATTAGAGTGTGACGGCCGATCGGTTGATTCGTGATAGATCCGCGTATGACCAGAAAAATATTTCAGTATTTTTAATTCGTGTCAAATATTTATCACGGTTGAGGTTAGGTATAAGGTAGCATGGTAGGTCACGTTTGAGCTATATAAATATCATTGCACACTTTATACACTCAGGACTCAGGTGTATCGCGGAAGAATAAACTGTTCAAAAGTCATAGAAACGCCGTTTCAAACGTATGAAAAGAAAAAAATTAATCCTAGTTGAGAAAAAAAAATGGTTATAACCGATCCTAACCGACAGCATATTAGGTAATGTAAAAAAAAGTAAAATGTTTAATCTTCATCTAAACGACGACAGGTGCACACGAATTGCGACCCGTGTCAGATAAATGCATACCATTTTAGATGAATTGCGTGCCCGACGCATGCCGTATAGTTTTTTTCCACTTGCAGCATCGCGAGAATAGTTTTCGATGATTAATATTAGTTGGAAATATTTAATTACTTAAGCGAAAGCTTCATTAATTACGTATTTTCAAATAAATTATTGGTCACCACTACTAGCATAATATTATACTAAATTAAATGTTGTAGGTATAGGTATTTAGTTTTTTCTACTTTCAGTACTCTGTTNTGTAAAAAAAAGTAAAATGTTTAATCTTCATCTAAACGACGACAGGTGCACACGAATTGCGACCCGTGTCAGATAAATGCATACCATTTTAGATGAATTGCGTGCCCGACGCATGCCGTATAGTTTTTTTCCACTTGCAGCATCGTGAGAATAGTTTTCGATGATTAATATTAGTTGGAAATATTTAATTACTTAAGCGAAAGCTTCATTAATTACGTATTTTCAAATAAATTATTGGTCACCACTACTAGCATAATATTATACTAAATTAAATGTTGTAGGTATAGGTATTTAGTTTTTTCTACTTTCAGTACTCTGTTAATACTCATACCCATAGTATAACTATCAATGATAGATTACCGTTCAGGCTCGGTTCAAGGAGTAGGCGACATTGGCCCACGCCAATGGTGGCCCATTAGTAGGGGGTTGGCATTTTCAAAACAGAAATAATATTTTAATTTTAGGAGAGTCAAAATTAGATTTTGCCCAGTGCACTGTTTTCGCTTGATCCGGTCCTTCTACTACCTATTACATTCGTTTATGTTGGAACTAGGAAACTTAGTATAACGGTCCACTGTCCGTTTGCACTCATTAGAAACCGAAAAAATATAGTTATTAGTAAAATACAGTCTAACCTCATACTGATCAATGATTCACGTCGTGTTTCGAACCCGCAGGACACAGGTACGCGTTCGACTGGCGCGTTGTGCCCGTTTGGCTGGCGTACGCAGCGCTGGACGCGTTCATCATGTACTACAACTACCTGGAAGCTTCCGGTTACGTTGGCGCGTCGTTCCGGAAGTGTTTCGAGGAGTCTTACTGCTTCGCCGTCATCGAGCTGGCCAACCGGAACCTGGGGCCGTTCTCAGCGCTGGCGTGCACCATGTTCTACGGGCGCCGGCACAAGGCGGCCGCGCTGGCCGGCACCGAGCGCGTGTTGGCGTTCATCCGGGACACGGACCGGGACGCGGCCACGAAACACAGCTCGGCCCCGCTATTGTCACCGGCCGTCAAGTACTACTCGGCCGCGTTGATGGCCGCGTACACTGCGTGCTTGTGGCTGTACACGGCGGCCGTGCCGGTGACCGTCATCTTTCCGTATTGCGTCAACGCGCTGGGCCAGACGGCCGTCTACAACCTGGTCACGTTTCAGTACAACGTGCTGGGCAATGGTTACGCGCGCATCGATCGGCTGCTAGAGAAGTCCGTGGACGCGGGGGGCCATCGCCGCCGCCGGCCACTGGCCGCGCGCGTGGCTCGGCTGGCCCGAGCGTCCGACGACTTTGGCCGGCAGGTGGGCCACCTCAACCGGGCGTACGCGATGACTCTGTTGCTCAAGTGGCCGTACAGCGTGGTCCGCATCACCATGGTCGTGTTCCGCATCATCGAGCTGTCGGCCACCGTGCAGGATGGCCGTCCGTTCGCCCGCGTGGCCGTCGTGCTGATCGTCGAACACGTGGGCGAGATACTCCTGTTCCTGGTGCAACTGTCGTATTTCTGCTACACTGGCGCCCGTTTGTCCGGCCAGGCACGTGTTTTGCACTTGTATAACGACAATAACTAGTGGCTGAGATTGTAACACCCTAAAAAATCTCAACAAATTACTAAAAAACACTCAAAAAATGCATTATAGAAATTAATGCAATTATGAAAAATATAAACAAGTGTATTTTGAATTTTTTAAATAAGTAGTATCATGAATTTACAAAACATATGTACAGATAACTAGATCTCATCGACTTGTTTCACCGTACACTTCATCTAGACTCGTTATCTAGGTTTTGACATTTAAACTGGGTATAAGTTCTTGTTGTCCAAGAATATAATACAAATTACGAGCACCTACCTTATAATCTGTTATATTTATATTAAAATTAAAAATCATTTCGTAGTGTAAGAATCTTAAAATAGAATTTCAAATTCATATTTTTTCTCAAGAATTCAAAAAATTCTCCAACAACTGTGAAATGTCCTAAAAATTTAAGAAAATTGACAAAAATATACGAAATAAACTTTCTTATTTGCATTCAAAAATATGTGAAACACGTTGTTTAGTAATGCGAAATGCATCGGAATCCTAGTCCTAAAAATAACATAGTAGTTATTATTTTTCGTTATTTTATGTACTTTTGATTTTGAAGATTTACAATAGTACTGCCTATTATTTACAAGGAAACATAGTGAGGTATAATAAGAACGTTGCAACAAATTTTTTTTATCTTCTGGCTTTACTATCGTATGTGGTAATGTATCTACGGAATGACGCTATAGTGCACTATATCCGTGAGACAAGAGAAATAGGTAACTTATTAGTATCTATAATGATCAGTCATCTCTGAACTTGTGTCATAGACCACATTATAGTATAATGTGCTTAAATGTGTCGTTCGATACGTCAAAAATGTGTACAAAATTAAATTATGAATAATGATCATGGCTAGAAGGTACATAAAAAAATGCAAAATTCTTAAAAAGACATTGTTAATTTAATATCAGTAAATATGGGGTTGTGTTGTTTAAGATAACTTCCTGTCGTAATAATATTTAAAAATGGGTTATACTAATTACAAAATTATATTATCGCCTACAGGCGAACAGGACTGCAGCGAGTTTACAAAAATTTAAACTCCACCATGGATCCCATCTGGACTTGGAAGTTAAAAAAACGGTAAAAAGTGTAAATTATTATTAAACTACAGAATAGTGATAATACATTTTGTATTGTGTGTCTTAACGTTAGGTCGAAATATTTTGGATACAGATAAATGCTAGAAAAATACATTCAACAATTGGTGGATTTGTTATTGTTAATATGGACCTAATGAAAGCTGTAAGTCTTCAAAAATATCTCGATTTTTATGTTGATAGATAAAAATTGTTAGTTTGTATTATTATGCCGTGACAATAGTACATATTTTGTTTTGCAGATGTGTGGTATCATTGCAACATATTTTCTAGTTCTGATTCAATTCAAAAGTCAAAAAGGCAAATCCAAACCATTGTACCTCATCTGGAATTAGGTCAATTATTTATTACCTATATATATTATTTGTAGCTATAATATGGCAAACTGTATCATTACATATATGAAAAATCAACAACTTGTGTTATGTATTCAGAATTTATGAAATATACATACAACTGAAAACACAAACTCCTTATAGCATTAAATAATATAATAATAAGTTTTCAAATGTATTTTTTTTTTAAAACAATAAATTGGTAAGTAAAATATTAATGCATGTAAAGTAACTTAAGCAAGGCAGTCAAAACAATTTTTTAATAAATAATATTAAATGTTATTATAACTGATTTATGTGTTATAGTTATACAGTATACATGTTATATTTATTTAATTTATTCATGATTTATTAATTTATATTGGCTTATATTTAGATGAAGTAAAAAATAAATTTATTTGAAATAATGACGATTTACGGGGAATTAACTCTCTTTGACGTCTCAATTGTTAACTTCTCAGTTAATCCGTGAATAAAATGGTAGGTTTTTCAAAATATTATTTTTTTTTTTGTTACTCTTATTTAATAATGTTTCACTCAAATCGATTTCCATTCGTAAAATTAAACAAAACATCAATAATCAGTTAATATAACTATATAGCATATGTATTGCACATATATTACCTATGTATTACCGGCAATTGAATGGAATCGTATATTGAAAGTAAAAACACGGCAGAGTCAAAAATATAATCTATTTAAAGCGTCTGGCAAATATATGAATACATCGATAAACTACTTTCGATAATAAAATAAAATAAAAATACTAAATTATTGAACAGCAACAATATCGGAACCCATAATAAACCAACCGATTACGCATGACGTACATATAGCTTTCCAAACTAAATACAGTAAACATGGCGAACACATCACATTTGGCGAAATTGTTATATGCCGTGCGCAAATAACGCCTACTACAGTAAGTGGGTCGGTGTGGGTGAAACAAATGAAGTGGGTACGTCACTGCAGTACTCGCATCCGCCTTGACGCGCTAGGGATAGTTTGTGCTTTCGTGCTCAGCCCTTCGGCGGAATTATATGTTTTGTGAAGTATATGTTTACAGCTGATACCGGGTGCAACGGTGGTCGTAATATTCGGTGGTGAAATGCAAGTCACCGGTGACAGTTACGGATACATGCGTTTGACCCACATATTGGCCGTCTGCTGGGGAATGCCCATAACTCGTAGACGATCCGCCGCCGATGACGTCAGAGGCGACAGGGATTCGGCTGACGTACACGATGGTAAGGTGACATAACACGGCCTTATCGATTATAACAATTAGAAGCTCGAGCCCTAAAACGTTTGTCGACCCCTCTCAAAACCTTGGTTGGTCTTTGACCGATAACCCCTGTGGTTTTAAACAACCTTATAAGTGTCCATAAATGATGATATAATATTATTAAAGATCTAAATGAACATATCTATTTTTCGTTATTTACTGCCATAACAGCTTTTGATAAATTTACACCGTACTTTTTTGACTACCTAAGGCGTAAATTGATTTTTATTATTTTCAAAATATGCATATTTTGACAGTTTTTTTAGTCCATTAGAGTCCTTGCTCTACTAATGGTCACATTTATTTTGTATCCATACGTGTAGTTGGCCATATTATTTTATTTGCGACCCACAGGGTACAGATACAGATTCGACCGGCGCGTAGTGCCCGTGTGGTTGGCGTACGTGGCACTGGACGCATTCCTCATATACTACAACTACATGGAGGCTTCCGGTTACGTGGGCCAGTCGTTGCGGAAGTGTTTCGAAGATTCGTACTGCTTCGCCGTCATCGAGCTGGCCAACCGGAACGTGGGCCCGTTCTCGGCGCTCGTCTGCATCATGTTCTACGGTCGCCGGCACAAGGCGGCCGCGCTGGCCGGCACCGAGCGCGTGTTGGCGTTCATCCGGGACACGGACCGGGACGCGGCGTGCGGCGGTCACTTCCGGCCACCCGACTCCCGGTACTACTCGGCCGCCGTGATAGCCGCGTACACGGCGTGCATATGGCTGTACGTGGCCGCCGTGCCCGCGTACGTCATACTGGTCATCTGGCTCAACGCCCTCGGCCAGACCACCGTGTACGGCCTTGCCACGTTCCAGTACCACGTGCTTGGCCGCGGTTACGCGCGCGTTAACAAGCTACTGGAGATGGCCGCAGACGTAGTTGGCCATTGCGGCCGCCCGGCTCCCGATTGTCGGTCGCTGGCCACGCTGGTGACTCGGCTGGCCGACATGTGCGACGACTTTGGCCAGCAGGTCGGCCACCTCAACTAAGCGTACGTCCCGGGCCTGCTGCTCAGGTGGCCGTACAGTATGGTCCGCATAACGATGGTCGTGTTCCGCATCATCGAGCTGTCAGCCGCCGCGCAGGACGACCGGCCGTTTGCGCACGTGGCAGTGGTGCTCATCGTCGAACACGTGGGCGAGATACTCCTGTTCCTGGTGCAGCTGTCCAGTTTCTGCTACGCGGGCACCTGTTTGTCCTATCAGGCACGTGTATGGCCTCCACAACTTTTTCCTCGAAGTATAACCGATAAAATAATATTGTATTGAAATATCAAGGATAATAAATTAGTATAACCATTTCTTTTTTATCAGAGTGTGATTTTGGTTTGGTTAAGTACCTACTTATAATAGAAGTACAGTTCGACAGTGCCAATGTTACACCTACTATTTACTAACCCAAACTCAAATCGTTTTAGTATTTTTCTTCTGAATTCTCACTGAACAATAATACTTTTATCATTATAAAATAAACAATAGTTCATCTGTACGATTATCCTAAATAAAACTGATATAACCAAGGTTAGGTAACAAGTATTTTAATAATAATATTAAACTGTTAACAAACGGTCGTACCCATTTTTCTTTCGTTTTTCCCAGTTATGTAAAAAAAGTTCTGACCGATTTCAATGTTGACCTCCTTAAAGCACCAACTAGATCCGATTTTCTATCAAACGCCTTCCTCGAAGTTATTGATACGAGCATTTTTTCTACTGAAAAGTGTCTTGAGAGTCTTAAGTTCAGACACAAAAATAAACTAGTTTAATTTAATTTTAAAACAAATACATAATTTTAAAATTAATTAGTGTACTGTAGTCTTCCTTTCTTCCATAGCCTAAAATAAATGTACACTGCAAATTTAAAGATGAAATGGTATTTCATTAAAATATATTAAAACAAGTGATAAGAGATATGATTTTGAATTATTACTGATATAAGATAATTGACATACGAACATGACACACTTTTAAAACATGGGATCACAAGGCCAAGGATTCTATATAATATCCTGCAGTTCTTAAATCATCGTTACCTGTATAATATATGGATATTAGTATGTATTCGTTATCCCTATATCTGTGAAAGTCAAAAATATAGTCTGCTCCTCAAGCAAATCGATTTGAAAATATATTATAAACGATTTGTCTGCAATAACACGCCAATATGGTATGAATTAATACAATTTAAATGCTCCAATATCATATAAATGTATTAGGATATTATGTAGGTATAGGGTTTGAAAGTTTCACTGTATAATTATTAATTATTGTTCGATATTTAATAATACAAATTTGTCTAATCCAGGCCCAAAACACCAAGGGGTGCTTGCAAAATTTGAAACTTTGCCGAAGACAAAGTCTTTATCTGAACTCGGACGTAAAAAAGAAGGTTATTATTAGTACTATTTATTTCATTTAAGGATTATCGTAACTTTCCGCTGTTAAACCTCATGATTTCGATTTCAGGTGAATATTTTTTTGATACAAGTCAATGCTAGAAAAATAAACGCCACAATTGGTGGTTTTGCCAATGTCAATATGAACCTAATGAAAGCAGTAAGTCTTACTATAACTCTTACGGTGGTACTCTAATTAGTTATTTATTTTGATGAGACAGGTACTGATGTGGCAGCTGAGTTGTCGTGTAATTGGGTGTCTTTAATATTAGTTTAAAATGTTCTTCATTAATACATAGGTATTGATATTCTATTTCCAATCACTAGATTCAAAATTAGCGTTTTAAAACCAATTAAATATCGCTACATAATATTTTCTCAAAATAAATATTGTAAAATTATTTGATTAGATATATATTGCGATTGAGTTTTAATATTGAGTTAAAAATCATAACACCATTGGAAACTAAAACGTGTAAGTGTTACGAAATAACTTTTGTTAAAAACACAAAACAATAAGATTAAGGTAGTTAACTCTTAGCTTTGTATAATGATCACGAGTCAGCTTCTATAAATTAAAAAAATTCTTGAAATGGAAATTTAAATTTAAATTCTGCTAAACCATATTAACCGACACACAGCTATCAGAATTTTCACTCAAACCTGTTTAAAAATTGTGCTTTGTCAACACAAATAAATAAAATCTAAAGAACTTGCTTAAAGTTTACTTCAAAAATATTATTTTGGTCTCACCGATTTTTCCTAATAAAATATTGTTTGATATACGATAAAATGTTAGCAAATACATTATATATTACTAGATGGTTACTTATCTGGGTACAAACAACGATAATTTCGGCTTTACAAGCCGGCTGAACCGGCTTAACATCTGTTGTAGAAGCCACGTGCGACTTGAGTAGGTATCCACTTCACCACACTATATTATGTTTCTAAGTTGAAGGTAAGTTTCTATTTAGTGAGTACCTATAAGCCCGGATAAAATTAATATTATTTTTTCAAACCCTAAATATTCATAATGGAAGTTAAAATAAACAGATAAATAGATTTTATGTTAGCATTGTTTACATACAACAATCGGTGTTTGGAAGTAATTCTTCAGTATTGTCACTTATAATTAAGTTGTCGGATTCATAACACACGTCACTCCTACACAGCTACACAGAGTTAAATATTGTTATCAATACAAAGTCATTATTTTTCTAATATGCTCATATGAAATGATGACATTTGTTTTAGATTTGTGGTGTCATCGTAACTTATTTCCTTGTATTAGTTCAATTCAAAAGTCAAAAAGGAAAATCCAAACCTTTACATTATATTTGGAATTGAATTATTTCCACCATAATATAAATTAGTATTAAGCACCTGTAAGATTGTATAAACTAATTGCTTAGATATATTTATTTAATCAAACGGAATGACTTAAATTTGTATTTTTCATTTAAAAAATCAATAGGTTTATTATATAAATATTAATTTATTATTCAGTAAACATTTCTTTATTATTAATTATTGTGGCCAAATAATAAATT